GGCCCAGGAAGGCCTCGCGGGACTCTGAGTTCAGCCGGGCCTCTCATCCTTGTGCCCCACCCAGGTGCCCTTCCAAGAAGCCTGACCACAGTCCAGCCTAATTAAGACATTAGTTAGGGGACATTCCTGTCCTCCTCTCTTTTTGCCTCAGCCTCTGGCCCACATTCCTCATCAGATGTCCGTGGAACTGCCAGGGGCAGGGACGGCGCTGGTCTCGCTCACCGGCACCCCAGCTGAGCGCCACCTCTGCTACGTTCGTGCCTTGTCTTCGGAACACCCCAGCATAACCTGCCATCACCCCAGACGACAGCCTTGGTGGTGGTGAACCCGGATGCCCTGGCCGGATGGACCAGCTCAGGAAGCAGCCCACTGTGAGGGGGGGAGTCCTTCTCAGCCCCTCCACTGCCCTGGACCCAGCACTAGGGCCCTGGACTATCTGTGGCCCCAAACAAGAGGGAGCACCTCACACGGCCAGCTCTGCTCCGTCCTGACCAGTGGCCTGCGCCCTCCCAGCACGCAAGGATTCTGAGCATCACCACGTGTCTGCTCACCCCCGCTCAGGTCAAGGCCTGTGCTCCCTGAAACCTGGTCTCTCCCCCAACCCTGCCTCTCTCTCTGCCACAGTTTTGCATCTTGTTTGTTTTTTCCCAAAAGTCCACCACAAGGAAATTCAACCCTCTCCTGACCCCCGTCCAATCTGCTAGTGAGTCCCAAGATCCCGCCCCCCCCCCACATTCTCAAGGCCACTTTCACCCCCACTGCCACCACCGGGTCCATGCAGCCACAAGCTCCACCCTGGCTCGGTCCAGTCTTGTCTGAGTGGTCATTCGACACTCGCCACCCTCGGGGCCCCGGCCAGGTCCTGGAGGCCGACCTGTGGGGCTGCGCCCCTGGGGCTTCAACCAGCAGGAGGCCCCAGCAGGCCAGGGGGTGGGACTCTGTCCCACCCAGGGCGGGGTGATTCCTGGCATGCCCCACAGCCCCTGCCCTGTCCCGCCTGCCCCCCAACCCAGGAGTCTTGTAGTGAAGGTCACCGACTTCTGCCCCTTGGGTGGGCTGTCTTACTCCTCGGGGCCTCCGGGGACCGCATTGAGGGCCTCACAGTTTTACACACGATAGTGAGACCCTCCAGAAACTTGAATCTGGTCCAGTCCCTCCGCCTCTGAAGCAGTTGGCTGAGAGCAACTGCTCTGAGAACTGCACTGCGTTGAGAACCCAGAAGTCTCTACACCACCTAGGAGACAGCAGGCTGAATCAGCGGGCAGGGGGTTGTGTGACCGGGTTGGATACTTTTTCCTTCCTTCTCTCTCTTTTGTAGATGATGCTGGGGCAGAAGGAATGGCAGAAAAGGGAGCAGAGCACGGACTCCCGGGTCAGGGCTTGTTCTGGTCACAGGAAAGCTGGCTGAGTCAAAAGGTGACGTCTTACTGCAGGTGGCCACACCCTGGGGAGCCCTGCCTGCCCTCGACCCCCTGCTCGCCGCCTGGCTCAAGGCCTCAGACACGCAGGCCCATTCCTGCCCTGGAGACTTTGCACCTGCTGTCTCTGGCTTGGCTGCCCTTCCGTCTGCTCCTCCCAAGGCTCCTTCCCACTCTGACGTCACCTCCTCCAAGGGGCCCTCCGTGACAGGCCCACCTGAAGTGGGAGTGTTAAGCTTTGCTTGTGTTCCTGAAACGTTCTGTGTTGACTTGGCTGGCCTCAAAACTCTTTCTAGAGCATTTCCAGTTAGAGTAGCGGACAGACTTGATCCTCCTGTGGTTCAGCAACCAAGTATGTGGACGGAACCACAAAGGTAACAACTCACGTGCGGCCCTCAGTTCCCCAGCCCACTGTAGACCTCACTGGGGTGTCTGCAGGAGGGTGCACACCTGCTGGGCGGTGAGCAGAGTGGGACACAGGGAGGGGCTTGTCTCCCCCAGGGGCCAGCCACCAAGGGCAGGTGCTCAGCCCATGGCCCTCACATCGCCCTGCCACCAGCTGCTCCCAACAACAGACCCGGGGGAGCTGAGCCCCCTCAGTACCCACTGGTGGCAGACCCAGGAGGAGTCACCCCCAAGGGTCCCCTGAAACCTGAAGTTCCACTGGCAGGGGACCCTGCCAACTCCCACTGACCGGTGAGGAAGCTGAGGCTCTAGAGCGTGGACATGCTAGGGAAGCCACGTCCGGAGGCCAGGAGCCCCACAAAGTGATCGGGCCTTGGTCCCAGGCTGGAGCTGTGCCCAGCGCACACAGAGACCTAGAGGGCACACAGAGGGGCATAAAGCATGCCTGGAAACCCCGGTACCTGCTGCCAGGCAGGGCCACCTGTGTAGGGACTGATATAAGCGGGTTCCCAGGAGGCACTTCTGTCTCCTGTGTGCCCCCCAGCCTGGCCCCACCAGCTCACCTTGGCCTGGAGCTCGGCAGGCTTTGACTGCCCCATTGCACCTCCGGGGAGGCGGACACCGCTGCCAGGAGCCTTCAGAGCAGGTCAGGGGGCGTGGTGCCAGAGCGAGGGTCACAGGGGCTCATGCGGGGGTCACGTGGCCCCACCCCACACCCAGGAGGTGGTGCTTTGCATCCTAGGATTCAGTGCCCCCTCCAGCACCTGGAACTAAACCACCTGTGAGTTCAGTTGCTGACTCGGCCGAGGCTCCCCATGAGGAGAGCGGCGCCTTCAGTTGCCTCCGCCCCACCCCACCCTCCCGCCTCTTTCTTGCACAGCACAGTGTCTGGGGATCGAATGTTGACGCTAATTCTCCTGTGTCACCTGCATCAGTCTCCTACTGCCGCTGTGAAAATTCCCAGGAACGTGGTACCTGAAACAACACCCATTCCTCCACTCGCGGTTCTGAGGTCAGACAGAGAATCAAGCTGTCCGCACAGCTGTTCCCCTCCAGAGGCTCCAGGGCGGAACGTCGGCTCGCCTCTTCCCGCTTTCAGGGGCGCCTTGCCCCTTGACCTGTGGCCCCTTGCCCCCCTCCTCAGGCAGCAGGGTGAGAGCGCCCAGCCTCCTCTGACCTCTGCCCACCGCCCCGCCTCCTGACCCGCTCTAAGGCAGCAGTGCCCAACCGTTTTGGTACCAGGGCCTTGTTTCAAGGAAGACGATTCTTCCACAGACCGGAATGGGAAGGATGGTTTGCGGATGCTTCTAGCACCTTATATGTTGTGATGTGATCGTGATCATTGGTACCTGCAGACGCTCCCCAGGGCTCAGCTCCGCCTCTGATTGTCCGGCCTCAGGTTCTCAGAAGGAGCAGCAACCCTGACCCCTCATGTGCTCAGGTCACAGTAGGGTTCACGCTCTTAGGAGAATCTGACTCCCTGGATGATCTGACAGGACATGGAGCTCAGGTGGAAACCCCAATGATGGGGAGAGGCCGTAAATACAGATGGAGCTCCACTAACTTGCCTGCACTCACCTCGTGTGTGGCTGGGGGGCGGGGGGGACCCTCACTATAAAGGATCCATGTGACTACCTCGGGCTCACCAGATAATCCCGGATAATCTCTCCTTTCTCCAGTAGTCATGTATGGATGTGAGAACTGGACTATAAAGAAAGCTGAGCACTGAAGAACTGATGCTTTTGAACTGTGGTGCTGGAGAAGACTCTTCAGAGTCCCTTGGACTGCAAGGAGATCCAACCAGTCCATCCTAAAGGAAATCAGTCCTGAATAGTCATTGGAAGGACAGATGCTGAAGCTGAAGCTCCAATCCTTTGGCCACCTGATGCGAAGAACTGACTCATTTGAAAAGACCCTGATGCTGGGAAAGATTGAAGGCAGGAGAAGGGGATGACAGAAGATGAGATGATTGGATGGCATCACCGACTCAATGGACATGAGTTTGAGCAAGCTCTGGGAGTTGGTGATGGACAGGGAGGCCTGGCGTGCTGTGGTTCAAGGGGTCGCAGAGAGTCAGACACAAGCGAGTGACTGCACTGAACTGAATCTGGACTTGACTTGATTACATCTGCAGAGCCCCCTTTGCCACAGAAGGAAGCATAGTCTCAGGTCCTGGAGATTAGGATGCAGACATCCTTGGGTGAGATGGTTGGACGGCATCAGCAACTCAATGGACATGAGTTTGAGCACACTCTGGCAGATGGTAAAGGACGGGGAAGCCTGGCATGCTGCAGCCCATGGGGTCACAAAGAGTCGGACACGACTGAGCGACTGAACAACAACAATCCTTGGAGCCAGTATTCTGCTGACGACTTTTTAACTTTCAATTGTATATTTAACCTCTATGTCTTATCCCAATTTTAGCCATAGTGCTTGCTTACCACCCACGTCATTTGCTCAACAAATATTTGTTTGGGGAGCTGGGCTCAGTGCTGAGCATAACAGGCAAAACCCTTCTTCCCGAGTTCATGTTCTAGTGTGGAAGAACAGATAATACACTGAATGCGTGAGTAAATTATGTTCCCAGTGCAATTGATTTTTGGACGGTAATTTGGCAAAAGTTACTGGCCTGCTCTTTGACGCAGCAAACCCACCATTAAAAGTTGTATATGAAGCTATGTGCAATGTCTGTTCTGTTTTGTATCATTACATATCACAGTAAACATGTGGGAACAATCTTAAAGCTAGTTAATGGTAACTTACCATTAAATTTAATTGATAAGTAAATTGTGGTGCCCAGAGACCAGAATTTACAGCTCAGTATGATGATACATATTCTAGGATCTGGATTGACACAGAGCCTGTCCGTGTGGCGCACAGTCTATGGACAATGAGAAAACCACGTGCTCTAAACTGCCTTCTCATAGGCAGAGGCATCTCTGGGACACAAGGGACCCAGGAGGCGGCCGACAGCACTGCACATCTCCCAGTGCTCACCTAACTGGGCCTCGACAGAGGCCGGCCGGGGCCGAGGGCCCAAGCGGGTGGCCGTTGAGGACGCACGTGGAGAGGTGAGCCGTGTCCAGCTGGCACCCAGGCGTGTACACGCACGTGCTCACAGATCCTCCATGTGACTGTCCTCAGCCCCCAGGTCCCGTGTAACTGGGCCGCTTCTCTATGGATGAAGAAGGCACCTCTGTGGAGATGGATGCCTCCCTTCCCCAGGGCATGTTTGCCCCCAGGGAGTGTGTCCGGTCAGGGTCAAAGGGCACGGGTCACAAGGCTGGGTCCTCGCCCCAGGACCAGGAGGGATGGGGTGTCCGTTCTGCACTTGCGCTGTGCTCTACTGGACAGACAGATGGCTACAGCAGGAGGTTCCCAGGTCAGCGGGGACGAGGGCCTGCACCTCAGGAGACACAGTGCACACGCACACGCACACACCTCCCTCACATCTCCCCTTGCAGACCCGCAGGGCTCCACCTCCAGCTCCAGGCCGGAGGCTGTCACTGACAGTCCCCAGGGCACGTGGACAGAGAAGCAGGCTGGTGCCGGCCGGAGGCCTCATCTGCAGAGCTCACGCTAGGCACTGCCTCCGCCCAGTCAAGACGCTTGATCCGTTCAGAATTGCAAGTGGCCATCACGTGCCATTTCCCGGAAGAGTTGTTTGCCCCCTTCCCGGTAGATACAGTGGGCGCATAATCGATGCTCAGTGCACTGCACACAAGGTAGGAGGTGCCGAGCAAGGCCTCAGACAGGAGCTCAGTGGGGTGGCGGCCCTGCGGGCCGGGCCCGCCTGTGGTCTCTCCCCACAAGTGAGCTGGGATCGGGTGGCCGTGGGTCTGTGGAGCAGACAGCCCTCAGGACACAGAAGGAGCAGACGCCCAGCCTCGGGTGCGGAGGTGGCGGTGCGGGGACCCTGCACTGGTGGACCAGGGGCCGGACATCCACGGAGCCCCTGTGTTGCTCGGGGCGCAAGCCAGGGTCCCCCGCATGTGGCAAGGCAGATTCAGCCCCCAGAATCACTCCACTTCCTGGCAGGGACAAGGAAAACAGCACGCCAAAGCCAGAGTTATCAAGTTCTTCTTCTTTTTATTGGCAAATATATTTTTATGAAGGACAAAAGAAAATATACATAATTGTAACATATGTACACCAGCTTTATAGATTTTATTTCAAATTTACACAATGTTGGTATGTTATTAAAAGATTTTATGTCAATGCACCTATGTACATTTTATTTACATACATTCATAGGATGTGAAATAAACCTCTCAAAACAAACTAGTTCATTTGATATTAATTTCTAGACAAAATAAGGAATGCACTTCTAAATCAGGATTTGGGAGGCTCTACATAGCTCTTCTACACCAGCCCTCTCCTCCTGAAGGTGACCCGAGGTGCCTTCTGGATTTGTCTGCAAACAGGACGAGGGGATGGGCCACACGGCACCGTCAGCCTGGGGCAGACCTGCGTCTGTCCGTCTGTCCTGCATGTTTAACTCAAGCACATGCACTGCCACCTTGCCGAGAGGGGGCTTTTCACCCAGCCCACAGCCACCGGGCGGCCAGGTCCCGCCCCTGCACCGCCCCCGTGCGCCCTCTGGTGGTCAGGCCGGGGATGGAGCCACGCCCACGCCACAGTGCAGCCTGGACTTCTGGCCTACTTCCTTCTTCCCCGCAGGCTCCCTCCGGGAACTGACATTTCAACACTGCGCACTTCTCCTTCCCCGGCAATCGAGTGCTGGCCCCGGCCCAGGCGGGGAGCCCGGCGGGAGGGGGGTGGGCCTCGGAAGGCGAGGGGCGTGCAGGCTGCCTCCGGCCGGCGCGGGCGCCTCCGGGTCCCCGGGGAGGTGGCGGTGCTGAGTCCGCACCCCGGGGCTCCAGGTGGCCCAGATGGGCGTCACGTCCCTCCAGCGGGGGCTGATAACTTATTGCTACAGAGCGCCGGGCGGAGGCGGAGGCCGCTAGGGGGCGGGGGCGGGTCAGGGCCGCTGCAGCCGGCTGCTGCGCGGGAAGCGGTGCACCTTGACGTGCTTGGACAGGTGGTCGCTGCGGGCGAACTTCTTCTCGCACACGGGGCACTGGTAGGGCTTCACGCCCGAGTGCGAGCGCCGGTGTCGCGATAGCTCGTCCGAGCGCGAGAACCTGTGGGACAGGGCGGTCAGCGGCCTCGCCCCCGCCGCCCAGCGGAGCCCGTGGGGTCCGCGGGGAGGGCGCTGAGCCCACCCTGCCCCTCCCCCGACGCCCCTCCAGGGAGGCGCGAGGGGCCGGTCCCCGTGCTGTGGCCTAAGGGCAGCTGGTAACCCCACAGGCCCCCCAACTGCAGCTGTGTCTCAAGCCCCTCAGACCAAAGTGTGGGGCTCTTAGGAGCATCCTTCCAGGCAGCCCCCCAACCCAGGGCACAGGCTAGGGCAGAGGCCCCACCCAGTCTGCAGGGGGCGGGCCTTTGTCACAGCAGAGGAGGGGTCCTCAGACTTGACCCCACAACTCTGGACCCTGACTGCCTTCCCAGCAGCTGAGAGGTCCCCAGACGACTCCATGCCTCACAAGGTGCTCAGAGACCTCCAAGGTAGCCCAGCTGCCTCCCTGTCACAGCCCCAGTGTCTGCTGCAAAGGAACAGTGGCCACGGACCCCAGCTGACCACAGGACTCAGCTCTTGGCACAGCTGACCTCAGGGACTCCAGCCTCTCCTCACTCCCGAGCTCCGTCCTGGCAGCGAGACCCCACCCTACGCACACACGCTGTTGTGCTTTGCGCTCTGCCTGCACAAACTGCCCTGAGCCCCTCTCACCAGAGGACGTGTGCCCAAACCATCCCCTCTGTCCGAAAGGCTCTTCCCACCCATCCCTTAGCCCTCAGCGCAAACGTCACCTCCTCAGGAAAACCCTCCAGGATCGCATCCCACCCATAGCTAGGGCCTAGAGGCACTAGTCACTTCTTCCTGACCTCTACCACTGCTGCAACTTTAGTTTCCAAGTTTTTGATGAACATCAGTCTGAGCCACTAGACCGTCAGCTCCATGAGGAAAGGCAAGTGCCCCGCGGCCAGCCCAGCACCTGGTGCCTCGGGTTCTTGGTCTGTGTGTTAGTGACAGAGCACCTCAGGAGGATGGAGAGCTGTCAGAGAGGCAGCCCTCGCCAGCGCCGGGGTGGGCAAGCACCCAGTGCACACTGCGCACACACACAAACAGGCCACACTAAAGCCTCTGCCTGCAATTGCAGGGGGCCTGGGTTCGATCCCTGAGTCGGGAAGATCCCCTGAAGGAGGGCATAGCAACCCACTCCAGTATTCCTGCCTGGAGAATCCCCATGGACAGAGGAGCCTGGCGTGCTACAGCCCACAAGTCACAAAGAGTCGGATACGACTGAACACGGAGCACACACATGCATGTGTGCACATGCTCACCCACGTGAACACACGCACACAGGAGCATCAGGCCCAGCACCCCGTTCCTGGACCCACGCCTGAGAGGAAGGGGGTGGTGCCTGCAGCAGCCATCCCCGCCCTACCAAGGAGGGGGTTGGAGGCTCAGCCGGGCCTGACCCTCTGGGTGGAAGCCCGGGACCCACAGCTGTACGGGGAAGGCTGAGTGGGGGCCTCAGCCCGGAGGCACGGAGGACAAGCGCCACCTCCCTCACTCCCCTGATGCCCAGAGCAGGGCCAGGTGCCAGTGCTTGGAAGATGGAGTTCACATCACAGCCCAGGTGCCCAGGCACAGTGCCATCAGCACCTTTGAAAATAAGACCCTGGCCCATCTGCCATGAGAGGAAACCGAGGCACAGAGATGCAAGACCCTGACCCAGGGTCAGCGGCCACAGAGTGGCCAAGGCCAGAGCAAAGATCCCGCCCTGGTGACCGCAGGCAGCCTGGCCTCCCCCAGAGCGGGCCGGGTGCCCCGCGCCCCTGCAGCTCAAGTGGGTGAAAGGAGCACCAAGGTTCCGGCCATCAGGGGCCAACCCGGGACCACCCACCCCGGAGGAGTCAGGGCCCCCAGGGCAGCGGCAAGGAGGCTCCGCAACGGCCCCGAGCCCCCGCCTCCCCCAGCGGCACAGGGTCGGCCTCACCCTCCCGCTCAGGGAGTCGAGACCAGCCCCGCTGGAGACGCCACCCCGGGGAGGACGTGAGGACAGGGGCAGCAGGGAAGCCAGATGGCTCGGCGCAAGTCCGTGCAGCCCCGAGTGAATGCAGGCCCGTCCTGGGCCTCGGGGTCCTCTCTTCCAGTGGGGCCTTCGGGCTCTCGTCCACCTTCCGAGGCTCATCTCAGAGGCCACAGTGGGCACACAGGGCAAGCAGCCTCTTGTCAGGAGACGCCTGGGAGGGGCGCGGAGTGGGGACAGTGGCCCCAAGAACAGCCCCCCCATCTGCATGCCCCCTCCCCCCTCAGGGTCCTGTGACCTGAGCCCCCAGACAACCCCCCCCCCCAGCCCACACCCCCATGCCACCTTCTCCCAAACCACAGCCACATGGGATGGGGTGGGCGGCTACAACTCAGCCTCTGCAGGCAGCGGGCCCTGCTCCTCCTGCCGGGACTGCCTGGCAAGTCGCCAAGCTCTCGGAGGTGCTCCCTGGGCACAGGGAAGGGCATATCGGGTGCCAAGACTGAGGGTGCAGAGCGGGTGCGGGGCCCACGGCTGTGAGCTGGGCCCTGGTGAGTGTCGACCACGATCCCCACGGCTGGGCTGTGGGGAAGCACAGGTCCAGGGGGCCCTCGGCCAGCCAGAAAGCCATCACTGTGAGCACCCAGGCCAAGGGCGGCAGTGGGAACGTGGCGCCAGGTTGTGAGTGGAACAGTGCAGGGCTGTGACCACAGGCAGGGCTCGGGGGCCTTGCTGCCAGCCACCGGCCCTGTCCCGGCCTCCCCGTCTCCAGGGCCTCCTTGTCCACTGTGGAGACCCAGGCCCCCCCCCAGCCCCACACGGGGAGCTGGCACACCCCCAGGGGTGGAGGCAGGAGGGCGCTCTCCTCGGAGGGGACAGGACGTCCCTCTGCAGAGAACAAGGGAGGCTGGTGTCCAAGAGGGAAGCAGGAAACTTTTAGGCAGAGGCCGACAGCACCTCCTACACGCACAGCCTCAAACAGGCCAATCCGGCCCCAGCCTCATCCCGGCCTCCGGAGCCGCGTCCCTAAGCAGAAGAGCAGGGACTCCGGGGTCCACGATCAGACACCGAAGGAAGTGGCGGGAGGTTGCCCAAGCCAGGGATGACCCTGGGGGACAGCGTTCCTGGCCCTCAGTGAGCAGGACACAGGACAGGTGCCGGACGGAGAGAGGCGGCTGCTCTTCGCCAGGACCACCAGGAAGGAGAGAGTCTGGGATGCAGAGCACCCACTGGTAGGGCAGGCGTGGTGCAGGGGGCGGCCCACCCCCTCGGGAGGTGTGGAGGGGCTGCTGCAGGGCGGGCTGGGCCTACAGCCTGCCAGGTGGGGTGGGGTAGGGTGGGCAGGGAGCCTGGGCCGAGCCCTTGCCTCAGCCACCTCTCAGCCGGGTGATGGTGAGAACCGCCTGCCGGCTCCAGCCATGTTTCCTTTCTCTAAAGTGGCGCGGCAGAGGGTGAGATGTTGGATGGCATCATCAACTCGATGGACACGAGTCTGAGCAAGCTCCGGGAGTTGGTGATGGACAGGGGAGACTGGCCTGCTGCAGTCCATGGGGGCGCAAAGAGTCAGACACGACTGAGCGACTGAACAACCACCAAAGTAGGACGACAGGCTGATGCCTGCTCATAGGCTCAGTGTGATGCGGGCGCCTGCCCAGCACCCCGGGGCTGTGTCTCACTGTCCCCCTCCTCAGCCCTTCCCTCCCGGCCCAGAGCTGATGCCTGGCCGCTGACGACCTCGGGGAAGAGACAGGACTCCTGGCACACGAGAGCACTGCCCACCGAGAGGTGTGGCCAGCCTGGCCCTGGGGCTGTACATGGCAGAGGCACGCTGCCCTCACCACGGCGGGGTGCGCTTTGTCGCCAAGGTGATGACTGGGTCTTTCTGGGCCTCAGTTTCCCCCTACGTAAAACGAGATGGTGCCAACAAACCACAGGGGTGCTGGGAGGCCTCGAAGAGACCGGGATTTGGGAATGACGGAGCCAGAGTCATGGCAAGACTAGCGACAGCCACCCCCGGAGAAGAGTGCTGGAGACACAGGCCACAGGGGGCCATGACAGCCCGCGCTGCCCGAGGGAGGCTGGCAGGCAGACCGAATGAGCCTGCGGTCCAGAATGAGGCATCTGGATAGGAATCTAAGTGTACCTGAGGGGAACAGAAGGCCTGAGGGGGCGGAAAGGTAATAAGTCCCTCGTGGAAGGAATCATGCAAGCCAGGGTGGGGATTTGCAGAGGTGAGCCCAGCTCTAAGACCCTCAGGACAGTGCCTGGCGCTCAGTAAGTGCCTGGTGAGCTGGCCACTGTCACCTTCTCCCCTGTCCTCTCCTGACGGAGCTGCCCCAAAGTCGGTCCACCCTCCCACCCACGTGCTGGAAGGACGGCCCTCGGTCGCGCAGCCGGCAGTTACGACCACGTGGACGGGACAGGTCAGCTCATGGGCGCATAAGCATCAGTTCAGGACCCCTGAAGAACAACCGGCGACACGGCCCCCACCAGGGCGGGCGCCCTCGGCTCCCTGCCTCGCAAGACCCGCACGTGACCCCGCGAGGGCCAGACCCAGACCCGGGAGAAGCCTCCTGTCTGGCTGATGGCTCCCAAGGGCTCCACGAGACCTCACGGTGCCAAGCTCCCACCATGCCTCCCCCACTCGGGGGTCCTGGGCAAGACCACCCAAGGGCTCAGGCAGTGCAAACCTGAATGCCCACCACGAATCCCACTCTGGGTTACACACCTCCCCCCATGGAGAACTCACTCCCTCCAGGGCCGCTGTGCTGAGGGCCGAGACCTGCCTCCCTGACTCCCTGGGCCGAGGGTCCCATGTGCCCTCCAGGACAGCCCAGAACACAGGTCCTCTTCTCCCGGGGAAGCGGCCAAGCAGGTGGCCTTGACCACGACTAGGCCCTTCCTCCAAGCCTCAGTTCTGGGGGGTGGACAGTGCCTGGGACTGTGAGGCTGCCCACAGCCCCACCCCCACCAAAAAGACAACACTGGCCCGGGAGTCTCCGGGTGCCAGCCTGCAATGCGGGTGCTGCCCAGTGGAAGCGGGCTGACCCCTCCCCGGTCCTCCTCACACTCTGACCTCGTCTGAGAGCAGCACGCGACCAGGACGATCCCTGCACACATGGCCCTGAGGGACAGAGACCACGAGCAAGCCTTCCACTCGACAGACGAGGAAACAGGCTTGGCCAGGGGACCACGGGAGGACACCGGCCAGTGGGCAGAGCAGGGCTGGGGTCCACTCCCTGCCACCAGCCGCCCCACCCTCGGGGTCAGGATGCCCCCTGCCGCGGTTGGGCCCCCGCAGGGCCCGGGTCTGTCTACTGACCCCGGCTTCCCCGCCAGCCGGCAAGCCTGCCCTGAAGCACACCGGCCAACTCTGCCCGATGCTGTGGGCAGTGCAAGGCTGGAGCTGGGCTCCTGGAGCCCTCAGGGCTGTGGGTGCCAAGGCAAAGCCCCTTCTCTGGCCAGCTCACTGCTCCACGACCCGGGATACTGGGCACAGGGCTCCCATCCGTCCAGCCTCGGCCTGCCACGACTCTAGAGGCCAGCACCTCCGGCCCAGGGCCAGTTCTCCCCTGCTCTCAGGAGCAATTCCATCCGGAAGCACGGGGTGTCATGTGCACCCACACACACGCATGGGGCACAACCATGCAGCGCGCACGATAGCGTGTGGTCACACATGCCCCTTGTGAGGTTCAGGTCTGCACAAAGCCACGCGTGCCTCCCACCCCCTCACACACGGAAGCCAAACTAGGCAGGACCGAGTGTGCAAGGAACACACGCACCTCCTGGGCCAGCCAGCTTCCTGCAGGGGGGCGTCCTGAGCACGTCGCCCCTGACCTGCACCAGAGTCTCAGGAACAGTTCCCTCCCAAGAAGGCGGGCCTGCTGGGGGACTGGGGGCGATCCACGGTGGTCCCACCCGCTCTGCCCGCCCAGGGGCTCGGTGACCCTGGGCAAGCCACCCTCCGCTTTGAGAGCTGGTCCCCCACGGGCACGGAGCAAGATCCGGGGAGCAGTCTCCCGCTTCTGGCTCGGCACCCGAGCCCAGAGCTCTCCGTGGCCTCTCTGGCATCTCTAGGACAGCGCCAGTTCCCCCAGGACGGCCATCAAGCGGCTGGGCCTTCAGGCTGCGGAGGTGGCCGCCTCTGGCCCCTGGCTTCGACCCCATCAGCAAAGGGCCACATTACTGAGCGGCTCCGAGCCTCCGTGTACTCAGCAGTGAAGGGGGGTGAGAGGTGGTACTTACCCTTGGGGCGCTGCGGGGGTGCACGGAACCGGGGCGCGCAGCACGGGAACGCCGCGGGGATGCGTGGTGCGCAGCCACCCCCCGCGGCTCTCAGCGGCCCCGGCGCCACCAGGGGAGCCCTCTGCGTGGCCCAGCCCCTCCCTGGCACAGCCGCAGCCTCACCTGGTCACCATGAGACTGAACGCCAGCAATCAGAGGCACACAGGGACCTCTGGGCCTGCCCACCCCCTCCCCGCCCTAAGCAGCCTTATCCAAGCGCGGACTCGGTCTTGGCCACGCACCCCGGGAGCAGAGGCGTGTGGGCCCTGAGCAGCAGCGCCTGGCTGCCGCTGCCATACTGACCTCCAGCCACAGCCCGGCCAGGTGCAGGCGAAGGGCTTCTCGCCCGTGTGCCGGCGCAGGTGGGCCTTCAGGTGGCTGCTCTTGGTGTACATCTTGCTGCAGCCGGGGAAAGTGCACCTGTGCATTTTGATGAGTTCGGCCGCCGGGTTCTTGGGGAACTTCTGGCCAACGAGGAGGCCTGTGGAGCCGGGCCCCAGGGGTCCTGACCCAAGGGGCTTGGCTGCGATGGGCACAGGGGCGATGCGCACGAACTTGGAGGGCAAGCTGAGGCTGGATGAGGGCAGCACCTGGGGCACAAGCGTGAAGGTCTGGCCCTGGATACTGACCAGCAGCTGCGCCACCTTGACGGCCTCGGGGGGCTGCCCCGGGGAGGCAGGCTCGGCGCCCGACTCCTGCTTCACCGGCACCGGTTGGATCTGCAGCAGCAGTGGGACTGGGGTGTCGGGGGTGGGGCCCCCAGCCGGGCCTTGGCTGCCAGCTGCACCGGCCCCCAGAGGTGAGGCGCAGCGCTCTCTGCCACCCGCCCCGGGGTGGAGGTGGCCCCTGTGTGGCCCGGTGGAGAGCTGGCCACAGGCGTCCAAGCCCTTGCCACTGCCCTCGGGGGCCTGCGTCACCGCTGGCTCCATGTTCTCCTCCAGAAACTCCTCGATCTCCTCCAGGGTGGGTTGGAAGGGCCGAGGGACGTCATCAGGGTCGCCCACCGGGAACTCGGGGAAGCTGAAATGCTCCCCCTTCACGGGGGCCGGTGTTTTCCGCCAGGCCCCCCAGGCCATGGGGCTGCCGTGAGCCGCAACGCCGCCGCCCAGGGTGGCCTGGGACAGCAGGAAGTCCAGGATACTGTCCTGGCCCTCGGGCCCCCGGCCACCGACGTAGCAGGAGCACAGGGTCTGCGAGTCGGGGCTGGCGCAGGAGCAGAGGCTGGAGGCATCGCTGTCGTCCTCGGAGAGGGGCGAGGGCAGCATATGGTACGCCCGCCCGTCACCCAGAAAACCAACGGGGCGTTTCAGCGACGAGAAGGTCTCGTCTACTGGGAGCAAGTGGTCCACCATGCTGGCCTGGCGGCTGCAGAGAAAACCAAGAAGGCCCCGTCAGGAAAGCAGCACAGTCAACCCCCTCCTCGGAGGCTCCTGGCCCCATGCCGTGGCCAGCCACAGCCTCCCGCTGCCCCAGGCCTGGATCCTGCCTCCATCCATCCGATGGGGGAACGCTGCAAACGTGTTTTTCGAAATTGCACCACCTGTTTGCAAAAGTGCTCTCCAAGCCCATTGCACAACCCGGCTCTTGCGGCTTCACACAGATTTTTCAGAACAATTCTGAAAAGGAACACGCATGTCTGAGTGTGAGTGCATGTGAGGGAGAGGGTGGGTGTGTGAGGAGGCACTCTGCACCCCAAACGGCCAGGTGGGAACCCCATCCAGCTGAGCAGAGTCACCATCATCCCTGAACAACTGACCTCAGTCCCATTCCTGCAGAAGAACTGCCGGCGGTGGGTGGCGGGGCGGGGGTGGGGTGGGGGGGAGGCGGAGGACAGCCACATGCCCTCTGACCCCCTGTTGCTGCAGCTTTGGTAGCGTTGCCAGATTGAGCAAATAAAAATAAAGGCCACCCGGTTCAACTTGAAACTGAGTTTAAAAAATGAACAACTTTTAACAGAAGCATGTCCAAACATTGGACACAGCAAGCTTATACTAAAAAATTGTTTCATCTGAGACTCAAATATAAATGAGGAGTTTGTATTTCAACCAGACAAGTCTACTCTGAGGAATAAATTAAAGACCCCCTCAAGTGCTGTCTGACCACCTAAAAGGGGGCAGCCCACCCACCACCCAGTCCTTGGGCCCCTCCCATCTCAGCTGCCTCTCCAGTGAATTAGCGATGGGCCTCCACCAAGCACCCTCCACTTGACTGGGCACCTTCAGAGGCTTCACCAGCAGTAGAAGGGCCCTGCCTTGCAACAACAACTCAGGGAGAACGCACTCAGGTCCCAGGGCCCAGCTACTCCCGCCTTTGACTCACAGCTGCCTGGGAGGCGATGAGACCCCCAGCTGGCACCCCGTGGAGCACTCACCCAGCTCACGCCGCCTCCCTACCAGACCAGGGCCCCCGTGGTGCAGGCTGGGCGGTCGGGTCTGGTTGAGTTCCCAGCCCCTGGTGAGGCTGCTGGTGCCCAGGAGGGGCTCAGGGCACGTCAGCAGAGAGGACAGGGGCAGGCTGAAGGCCATGCAGGTCGGTGTCCAAGGAGAGTCAACAGTGGCTGTGACAGGGCCACCTCTGCAGACCTTTGTCCCCACCCAGTGACCACAGCCGGTGTTTACTGAGTTGAGGAAGGGGAATGATCTGCAGCTAAAGCAGACAGTCTCGGCCACCGGGCACCACATCCGCTCCCACTACACCCATCTCTGTCTCTAGCACTAGGTCGGGACCGGCACTGCCCAACATTCGGCAGGCCCAGCCAGCGCTCGGGACCTCCCAGGGCCAGGCCATCCTCAGTTGTGACCTGGGGCCAGTCCTTGCTCCCCCAAACCCCAGTCACCCCACCTGTTCCGTGTGTGATGACCCAGCCAGGAAGCTTCACTAAGCCCCAGGAAAATAAGGCAAGGTGCAAGTTTGCATCCAGGGCAGTGTTTGCAGGAGAACATTTGGCTTTTTAGCTAAGGATTTTAAAGCTGGGAGTTTTAAAATATACACTATTCACTGAATCAGGTGCTGAGAAGGCATGAAAATGCCAGATAATGTGAAGAACAGAGCCCACACTCAGCCTGAGACCCCAACCTCCACCCCATCGCCCACACTGAGCTGCTGTCTCTGCAGCTTGTCAGCTGTGTGACCTCGGGCAGGCGGTGCTCGCTCTCTGTGCCATGTGTTGGGTGGGATCCTGACAACCGTGCCTAGTTCCTGGGTTTTTGTAAGACCGGTGAGCTTACACACGCTGAGCACTCGCTACAGGGACAGACAGGCAGCACCAGCCGTCAGGGTGAGTCTCAAGGGTGAGGTCGTGGTCTTTCTCCCCTCTGCCGCCATGCTGAGGAACCCGGGGACTCCAGTCTTCCTAGAACCAGGCAGGAACCAGGCAGAAAAGGCAGACAGCGCCATGTCCCTGCCCTTGAAACTCTCCCCAGAAATGTGATCACTACCTGACTATTCCATGATATTGAGGAATTACAGTCAATATTTTTAAATGGGATGATGTACTGTGGTTGGTACATACTTTTCAAAGGAGGCCTTACATTTTAGAGACATAAACTAAGATATCCACAGATTAAATGATATAAAAGAAATAAGAGGGGGAAATAAGTACAGCAGGACAGGGTAGGCGGGAACTCAAGAGATTCCCAAAGGAATGGACCCAGTCTCCTCCAAGAAGGCTGGTCTGCCCCAGACCACTGATCCACCTGCCCCACTCACAGGCTGTGCACAAGCGCACCAGCCTCACCGCCCCAGGCCAGGGCCCCAGCGCTTCACTCTCCAAGGACCCCTCTTCCCAGCCGTCTAGGAGGGAGCCCTGATTTAGATCCCTCAGCTCTGAAGTCACTCCCGTGAGGCCTCCCTCCCTGCCCACCACCCTCTGCTAACCACCCTGCATCACAGGCTTCCTAACAGCTGCTACTGCAGTTATGTATTTACACACTTCGTTCTTGGTCTCCCCACCAGAATATAAGCTGTTTGGACTGTCTATCCCCGACTCTGAAACAGGACCCTGGCCGAACTTTGCCGACGGAGTGCAAAGACCCGGGGGTGGGGGCCGCAGCAGACCGCCTGGGCCCTCGGGCAGGGCTCCTAGGCGGGGAGGACGCGAGCACTGAGAGCCCACGGGACCCGCGGGGCGCCGGGACCGGCCCTGAAACACAGCAGCACGTGGCCCGGCCAGCGACGCAGGCCGCGGGGCGGGGGGGAGGGAGGGGGGACGCCCTGTCCCGGGCAGCGTCCCTGGCCGTGGCCGGACTCCGCCCCTCCCCACCCGGCCGGCAGGGCCTGCTGTTTATCCTCCCGGGGACACGGCGGCCGCAGGAACAACATGTAATTGATAACAAGCCCAGCGCCGGCCAAGGGCCTTCCATTGGGTCAGCGTGCAGACCACGGCGGGGGGGCCGCCCTTCAAAATAAGAGTCCCGCGGCCGCGGCCTCGCACCTGTGGGGCGACTGGGCTCCCCGCAGTCCGCCGGGTCCCTGGAGGCGGCGGAGTGGCTCCAGGGCCTCAGGCACCCGGGGACCCGTCACCCCTGGGGCCTGGGCCGGCAAAGAGTGGGGGTGGAGGGAGGGCCCGAAGGGACCCGCAGAGGGGCGGGCGGGGGCGCGGGCGGGGGCGCGAGCTCCTGCCGCGTGACTGCGCGTGCGGGGCGCGCTGAGGGCCGGGCGGGGGACCCCGCGACGCTCCGGCTCGCGTGGGGCCGCGCGTGGGAAGGGGCGGGGAGAGCCGGGAGCCGCCTCCCCCAGGCCGGCCGCGGTGACCGTCAGTAACCCCTCCGCCCGCAGGCCCCGCCGCGCCCGCCATATGGGCGGCCGGCCCGCAAAGCGCGCGCGGACGCGCGGGGCCAGGCACCGAGGCTGGCGCGGGGACCGGGCCGGTGGGCACTGGGGATCGCCGTCCCGCCCGCCCGCCCCAGGCCCTGGCCCCGGCCCCGCACCGGGGGTCCCGCTCCGCCGACATCTCCCCCGACGCTCGCGCGGAGTCCGGACAGTCGTGCGGGCGCCCAGCCTGGCGCGCAGAGGGCCCCCCGCGCCCTCGCCGGGCCCGGTCCAGGCGCGCCCGTCTTCGCCGCGCGCCCCTACCTGAACTCGGCGCGGCCGGCCGGCGGCCAGGCCCGGCGGTCCCGGGCCCACGCGGGCTGCGCTGGGGGCGGCGGCCGCGCGTCCCGCACTCACTCGCCTCGCCCGGCCCGCGTCGCTGCGGCCGAGCCCCCGCCGCCGCCGCTTCTCGGCGCTCACTCCCCGGGCTCACGTGACGCGCCAGGCGCCGAGAAGGCTCGCAGGAGGCTCGGCCTCGGGCGCGCGCCCCATTGGCCCGCGCCGCGCGTCACGCGCCCCGGCCCCGCCCTCAGCCCCGCCCCTGTCTGGCCAGGCCCCGCCCGTTGGCCCGGGCCGCGCGTCACACGCTCAGGCCCCGCCCCTCCCAAGCCCAGGCCCCGCCCCCGCCCCGCCCCTCCAGTCGCTTTGGACTGGTAGCGGCGGCTCCGGAGGTTCTAGCCCAGGAGAGAACGAACGCGGGCCTGGCCTGGGGCTCCGAGGGGTTCCACGCGGGCTGGGCGCCGCCGAACAGCCCCGGCCCGACCCTCCCTACCCCGCTCCCATCTGCAGCCCCGGGGGGCCCACAGGCAAAGCCAGGACTTGTCCGGGACGTTGCTGGAGAGATGCGGGCGAGCGCCCGGTGAGCCGCCAGCCCGCTCAGGACAACGCGCTCGCTCGAGTCCGCGGCAGCTCCCGGGGGACAGGAGGCGCGGGACGCTGAGTGACCAGCCCTGGAGACCCGTGCGCCGAGGGTGACACCCTGCGCGCCGTTTACCCAAACCTGTCGTGTTCTCAGCCAACATTTTACTGATGAAGAGGACTCCGAGGCCGCGGTCCTCCCAGACACAGCTGGTAAGGAGGGAGGCGGGTGAGCAAGCCCGGTGGTTCATCAGCGCTGCCGAGATGGCATCTTCCAGACAACCTCGATGGTGGCCTGGGAGTGCCTTCTACAGAACGCACACATCCTTGCCTCCTGGTGTGGGAGGCGGGCAGCATTTCTGATTCTGTTCCTCTCCAGGACACTGCTGGAGCCACAACTGATAGCTGGGTCCTGTCTAGGCTCTCCGGAGTGCTGTGGGTCTGGACTCCCAAGACTATGCAGGACACTGGACCCTGCATCCTGGGACCCTCCCCATGCACGCCGCAGAGCCAGGGGTACAAATCTGGCTGCCACCAGGGGCCAAACTGAGGCTCGGTGGGAGGGTTTGGAGGAGACTGGCCTCGAGATCGAGGATGGTGATGGTGCTGTCTGCACCGCCTGAACATTCATGCAGGCCCTGGCCAGCACCCGCAGAACAGACCCAGCTCACTCCTTTTTACAGAA